TGTGGTGACCCGGCAGATCTGCCCCTTGAACTCGGGGGAATAGCAGGCCCCACTGAGTGGACACTTCTCCACCGGTTTCCCACGGTAGATGGGCCGGTAAGATGCAGCACAAATGTCAAAGGGGTTGTGCATGTCGTAACTGAGCTGGCAGGCATCTGTGGGGTTCTTCTCACAGGCAGACAGGATTTTTCTGGTCTAGAGAAAGAAGGAACATTTTATTTGAGAGGACAGGAAGCAGCACAAATAACCTCTGATACAAAATGCAACTCTATGCTGGGCATGATGCTCTAAGTCTATAATCCCAGCACTTACGAGCAGAAGGACCTCAAGTTCCAGGCCAGCCTGAGTTACATACTGAGACCTAATCTCAAAAAACAGAACACAACAATAAAAGTAACTACACTACAGGAATCCAGGTCCCATCCTATGTATAGGTGTATGTGAAAAATTCACAACTGCCATTGCTGCTGAGTGTAGTGGTGCATCCCAGTACTCCAGAGGCAGAAACAGGAGATTCTGGAGTTTGAGGGCCAGTTTGGGATACACAGTGAAATCTTTCTCTTTCTCCAACATGGCCCCATTGCCCTAACGCCACAATTTCAACAAAGTCTGGGGATTAGATTATCAGCATTGGGCCCCAGAAAGAGTTAAAACAGATTTCTATTGCCCAAGAAGAATGTTTTTGGATGGCATAGATAATGGAATACCTATGAGACATACAAGAGGTCAAGATGTGTCACCTGGAGCTTAAGGACTGATGCATTACCTGCAGGTACACTGGAGCTTAAGGACTGATGCATTATCTGCAGATGCACTGGAGCTATTCTAGATTGCAAAGCCATGGAGCAGTAAGATGCAGCACAAATGTCAAATTAAAAAATCAAGCTGGGTGTGGTGGTGTTTATTTTTAATGCCAGCACTCAAGAGGCAGAGGCAAGCAGATCTCTTTGAGGACAGCCTGGTCTCCATAGTAAATTCCAGGACAGTCAAGTCTACATAGAAAAAAATGGAGCCAAACTTGGGCAAGGTATTTTACTTCCCTGTATTGCTTTCTCATTACTAAAATATAGTTATAGGATCTATTCCATTTAAACATCTATATAAAGTATTTTAGAATGTCACCCAATGCCATGTCTGAATAAATTATTGCTTTAGTTTCAAGGGAAAAAAAAGAAGCCCCAAGGTCAGAAGGTAGCCAGAGGGTGGCATTCCATTGGCTTCTTTTGGGTTGAATGCTATTATACTGTTTTGTTTCAAAGACAAGGATCTTGGGCTTCTAATCTTTCCATTTGGTGCCCCTAAAGTCACTGATGGAATCCCCTGTACCTGTTGGGCCACTTCAGGCTTGGGCCCAAGTTCCAGTAAGCGCCGGGCAAAGGTGGCCGCTGTCTTGAAGTTCTTGAGCTTGAAGAAAAGGTTGAGGGCTGTCCGAAGCACCAGGATCATATGCACAGGCTGGAGGTTTGAGTGTGTGAAATAGGCTGCCATCTAGTGGACAGAAAGGAACACAAGACAGGCCGATGCTCAGCTGTTGTTTATAAACAGGTTCACAATCTTAAAAAACAAAACAATACAAAGCGAACATGATTGGCTATAAGACAGGGATTAATTCTACCTATTCTCAGGAATAAGGGTGGAGAAATGGAGTACCTCTTCATGGAGATGAACTCCAATTTCTCTCCCTCCCTGAAGCCAAGAAACATCCGAACCACACAAAGAATTTAGATGGTGCCTTTGCAGTGCTGGCCCCACACATCTTACCTCGCAGATGCGCTTCTGCTGCTCTAGGCTTTCCTTAGGCAGCTTCTTCCTTTCTATCTCCATGCACAAACCCACAATGTATTCACGGCAGATGGTGATGAGCTGCTGGGCCTGAAGAGGCAGCAGAAGACAGTCATGACATATACAAGAATATGGAGGTGCCCAGGATTGGGCAAGTGGCTAGATTCTTCCTACCTCTGCAATCTCCTGTTTATTGTCCACAACAAGAAGAGGCACACTGAGCAGGATGGAACGGAATTTTTCCACAGCTTCTTCAAACTTGCCAACTGTGGTAAGCTGGTAGCACAGTTGCAATCGCTGGATCAGGTCATTAAGCTTTAGGCCTACAGCTGGTACACCATTCTTTAGCCCTGCATCCTTCCTGGAAAGGGAAAAAGAGGAAGAAAATAGGATAGTCAAGGACTCATGCTCTGTTTCTAGCAAACACAATCACCAACATCCTACTGTGAAAGTTGCTGGGAACAGGATGAAGCTGGTATAGATCAAACTCCAAAGTAACAAGCCACAGATCTTTTCTTCTGGAAACATTAGCTCTGGGGCAATTCCATGTCACTGTGGCTAACATCTGAAGTGGATACTCCAACTTGGAACAGCAAGGAGCAAGGGGACTTACCAATTACGATTGGGGTAACTATACATGGACGGCAAGCAGGGCAGTGCTTGGTAGGTGGTACGGCCTCGAGCATATGTCTGTAGGAACAGTTGCTTATAGGGGCCAAATTGGATTACTCCCACCTGGTCATGAAGAAGCTAGCAAACAAGAAAATAGAAACGTAAGGATTTGTTTTCTTTCTGTTTTGGTTTTTCGAGATAAGGTTTCTCTGTGTGGCCCTGGCTGTTCTGGAACTCTCTCTGTAGACCAGGCTGTCCTGAAACTCAAAGATCCACCTGCCTCTACCTCTAGAGTGCTGGAGGATTTGTTTTCTACCAATTAAAAATTAAGTCAAAGCCAGGCGGTGGTGGCACCTGCCTTTAATCTGGGAGGCAGAGCCAGGTGGATCTCTGTGAGTTCAAGGCCAGCCTGGTCTACAGAGGGAGATCCAGGAAAGGCGCCAAGACTACACAGAGAAACCCTGTCTCAAAAAAAAGTAAACAAACAAAAAAAATTAAGTCAATCCTGGGCAAGGTATTTTATTTCTCTGTATTGCTTTCTCATTGCTAAAATACAGGTAATAATAGGATCTACTCCATTTAAACATCTATATAGAGTATTTTAAAGTAATCAACACCCAAAAATAAAGACGTCGATGGTTGTTGCAGTTGTAATTGTCATTATAACACTTGATAGATACAGTGTGCACAATACACACCTGTGCAAGAAGTGGTACTGATTCTTACTAGTGTAAGCCAGAAAGAGTCTATAAAGCGGTGGAAATGGCTGAAGATCCATCTTAAACGCACTTACTGACAAACACAGACCAAATGGAGAACCGGGAAGAGGCCTTTGTAAAGCTAGTTCCTTTAGCAAGGCCAATAACCTCCATGAAATATACAGCTTGGCCCTTGTGGGTCAGACCACTCCCATGTGGTTGAAAAGATTGAGTTAACCATTCTCTCTGGGACTCTGGGAATCTCTCTGGTATTCTCTCTGGGACTTACACTCAAGAGTAAGGGCCAAAGTTTTTAAAGACTTACCCGCATGGCTGTTTCAAAAGAACCTGCCAGGATGTGATCAACTGGAAGCTGAGAGTTATTACACCAGATCTAGGAAGAAACAGAAAACCTAAGCCAAATGAAAAATTTCCTTTCTCTTTCCAATTCTCCTCCTCCATATCTGTTAAAAGTAGCCAATATACATATATATTTTTTACACAGTAATCAAGTATTAACCAGCTCAGAAGCTCTCATGCCTGTATAATTTTGTTTTCCTGCTTACTTGAGTTGGGCTCGTTCCCTTGGTTGGGGGCACAAAGAACCCATCTTCAGCACCACTGGCGACCCCAGAGGGTACATCCTAGAAGAAAAAAAACAAAAACTAAGGCTTTATTTATTTGTTTAAACAGAGTCTGACAAAGCCTCAGACTCTTCGTGTAGCAAGGATTGAATCCTTCTGCCTCAACCTAAAGGGCTAGGATAATAGTCATATGCCACGGTGCCTGATTTATATATTGTGGGGATCAAAACAAAAGCTTTGTGCATTTCGAGGCAAGCACCCTAGAACTGAACCGTGTTTGCAGGCCCCAATCTAAGACATTTAAAAAAGCTGTCTAGGTACTGTGTTCTCATGAATTCAAAACACAACCATTTAGATGCCTACCTTTGTTCGAGAAAAGAGGTGATGGTTATGGGAGAGACAGAATGGGAGCCACCTCACCAAAGACAAAGAGACAACCTTTTAGATCCCTACTTCTATAGGAGAAAGGGTGATGGTTATAAAAGGGATAGAATAGGGAGCTACCTCACCAAAACAAAAATGACATACCAAAAGCTCCAATTCAGATTTTAGACACTCCCCTCTTTCAAGTGGAAGATAAGAATCAGATTAGAGACAAGCTGTTCATCCCCTTCTCTTATGCTACATAAGAATGCTGATATGTAGAACTGAATGGTATTGTAAAATAAAAAA